CTGAACCGGTGGGTGTAGGCACATGAGAAAACGTGATAGTCACAGGACTGCTCAAAAAGGTAATATGAGGGCTGGAGAGAGGGCTCAGCGGTGAAGAGCACTGACTGCCCTTCCAGAGGCTCTGAGTTCAATTCCCAGCACCCACATGGCAGCTCACAACCGTCTTTAATTCCAGGATCCAACACCCTCACACAGACATACATGCAGGTAAAGCACCAATGCACATAAAAATAAAAATAGAACAAAAAGAAAGTAATCTGAGGCTGGGCATGGCGGTGCATGCTTTTAATCCCAGCATTTTTTTTTATTAAATATTTATTTTTTATGTATACAATATCCTGTCTGCATGTATGCCTGAAGGTCAGAAGAGGGCACCAGACCTCATTACAGATGGTTGTGAGCCACCATGTGGTTGCCGGGAATTGAACTCAGGACCTTTGGAAGAGCAGGCAATGCCCTTAACCGCTGAGCCATCTTTCCAGCCCATAATCCCAGCATTTTTGCAGGCAGAGGTAGATGGAGCTCTGTGAGTTCAAGGCCAGCTTGATCTACATAGTAAGTTCCAAGCTGGCCAGGATTACACAGCAAGACCCTGTCTAAAAAGAAAAAAAAAAGAAAGAAATAAAAGAAAAGAAAAAGTAATTTAGTGTCAATGCGTAGGTAGAATGGAGCTGAAAGGTTGGGTAAGGGAAGTTAGGAGTTTATAAAAGAAATTGTGAGACAAGCATTGGGGACAGGAAACAAGGACATCTCCAGGCTAGGAGAGGACGACTGATGTGGCCTGGGGTGACTCGCGTGTAAAGGACACTGAAAGTGGCTGAGGTTTCAAGCATGGGTGGCTTAGACAATGGTGCGGTGCTATTAACAGAAAGACAGAAGTCAGAGGCAGAAGCTGGCTGCAGTAGAAACATGGGCGCGAGGAGAGGGCACCAGGGGCCCTGGGAACTGAGCAGTCACCAGATTTGAAAAAAACCAAACAAGCGTGAAAATATAAAACGAAAGAGGGAGGTAAAGTTTTATAAACACGGGGCTGGGGAGATAGATCAGCAATTAAGAACTCTTGGTATTCTTCCAGATGACCCAGTTTGGTTCCGGTACCCATGTCAGACGGGTCTCAACTTCCTGCAGCTCCAGCTCTGGTCGCTGTGGGCAGCCAGAGAGAGGTGATGCCCTCACATAGATATACATGCATACATGATATACATGCATACATGATATACATGCATATATAGATATACTGCATACATAGATATACATGCACACATGGATATACATGCATACATAGATACACATGCATATATAGATATATAATGCATACATAGATATAAATGCACACATAGATATATATACATACATGTTAATAAAAATAAATGGGGGCCCTCATTAGCTTTTTGTCAACTTGACACAAGCTAAAGTTATCTGGGAAGAGGCAACTGAGAAACTGCTTCCATGACACTGATTGGCAGGCAAGTCTGTAGGGTGTTTTCTTGATTAATGGTTGATGCGGGAGGGCCCAGTCCATTCTGGGTGATGCTTCCCCTGGGCAGGTGGTCCTAGACTGTATAAAGATGTAGGCTGAGCATGCCATAGAGAGCATCCTCGGTGCTCTCTGCTTTCGTTCCTGCCTCCAAGCTCCTGTCTTAGGTTCCTGACTTGGCTTCCTTTGACGCTAGACTGTCAGCTATAAGGGAAACCTTTCCCCTCTAAGGCGCCTTTGGACTCTGTTTCATCCTCTCTCCACTCATGCGGCAGGACTGCACGCCACTGGGCTAGTCTCCAGTGTTTCCAGGCGTTCACAATCGTGCCTTATTCCTCTTTTACATTTATTCACCTCCCTAACCTTGTTTTCACAAGTTGCCCAAACTTGTTTTCCAGGTTTTTGTTTCTATTAATCCCAGTATGCAGTGGGCAGAGACATCTCAGCGAGTTCGAGACCAGCCTGGTCTACACAGTAATCTCCAGAATAGCCAGGGCTACATAATAGAGAGAACTTGTCTCAAAATACAAAAACAAAACAAACCCCCAAATTCCTGTACTCTAAGCACTGAACAAGGTATTGATGGTACCTGCCCACAATACTAATACTCGAAAAGCATAGAGGTCGTCCTCAGCCACACAGCAAAAAGGTCGACCTGGGTTACATGAGACCCTGCCTTGAAAAAGGGTTATTGTACTATAAACAGGACCTGCTTTTTAGTCATTCTAAAAAGCTGTCATTCTAGCTACTTCAGGGTGGCTGAGACAGGAAGGTCTGGGATACAAGGCTTGCTTGGGCTGCAGATTAAGTTCAATTCCCTGGGTAACATAAATGAGATTTGTCTCAGAACAAAAATAAATAAATAGATAGATAGAAGGAAGGTTGGGGACCCAAGAGAGGGATAGGGTGTTTGCCTAGCGTGTGTGAGATCCTGGGTTCAAATCTCCAATATGTCAAAAAGAAAAGAAAAAAAGGATTGAAAGCACCGGGGAGAAAGGCCTGCTGAGTGAGGGGCCCTCTCAGAGATTTGAGGAAGTGGGTGGAGCACACAGTAAGCTGAGCTGCTGGGCACTCACTGAACTGATTGATCTGTGCTCTGCAAAGACAGGAGGTGGGCGTTCTTCAGACCAGAAACAGGAACTCGGTGCGTGGGCCCCCAAACGGAGTGTGAGCTTTGAAACAGGAGAAGTCCGCTTCTGATAGTGGAAGACGCAGTGCTGTGCTGCCCTTCCGTTCGGAGCCATCCTGCTGATCTGTCACTAAGCCTTTGCTTTTTAGTTTTAATTATATGTGTGTGGGTCTGTGCAAGCGAGTGTGGGTACCTGTGCAGAACAGAGGTGTTGGATCTCTCTAGAGCTCGGGTTACGGGGGGTTGTGAGCAGCCCAAGGTGGGTGCTGGGAACCAAATTCAGGTCCTCTGAAAGAACAGCATGTTCCCTTTAAACTCTGTGCCAGCTCCAAGTCCATTAATTATTCAGTATCTCATCTTGGATTCTCTTTTCACTTAGTTTATTTTGATTTAAGTGTTGCATTAATTTTCTTTTTTCGTTTTTTAGGTTTTTGAGATAGGGTCTCACTCTGTAGTTCTGGCTTGCAATGTAGACCAGGCTAGTCTTGAACTCACAGACATTCACCTGCCTCTGTTTCCCAAGTACTGGGATTAAAGGTGAGCGTCACCACATCTGGTTTCTTTCCTTTTATTTTTTTAAATTTATGTAATGCCTCTGTGTGTGTGTATGTGTGTGTGTGTGTGTGTGTGTGTGTGCACGGTGTGTGTTAGTGGAGATCAGAAGAAGACATCAGACCCCTTGGAACTGGAATCACTAGAAGTTACGAGCCTTCTGATGTGGGCGCTGAGAATTGAACCTGTGCCCTCTGCAGAAGCAGTAAGCTCTCTTAGCTGCAAAGTTATCTCTCTAGCCCCTTGTTAGTTTCTTTTTTCTCTTAAAAATTACTTATTGTTATATATTGTGTAAAAATTATTTATTGTGTATGTGTGTATAATTTGTGTGTGTGTGTGTGTGTGTGTGTGTGTGAGAGAGAGAGAGAGAGAGCGAGAGAGAGAGAGAGAGTTGGTTCTCTCCTACCTTCGCCTTCTGAGTCATCTGGCCAGGCCACATTAGTTTTCTGTGCATGTGCTTTCTATTTGCTTTTGCTCCAAGGCTGACATCTTGATGTTCAAGGCAGATGCCCAGCAACTGTTGGATATTGCATTTACCCCCCTCCCTACACCCATCCTTCCCCAAGTTCTAATTGGTTATATATGCCCACAAATAATTCTATGTTGGGTTTTGTTAACCTTGATTTCGGATGTAAATCATGTGTGGCTTCTAATGTAAGCCATGCACGTGTTTCTATCTCTTCCATTCCAGGCTGTCTCTTGAGGACACAGCTGAATCTATTTTACCACCACCGAATGCGTATCTAGGGCTTCACACGATATCTGACATGGATCGGGACTAGAGACTTCTTTAAATGAACTGTGATAATGAGTACAGTGTTAGAAAGGTCGTGTGACTTTAAACATTTATCATTATTATTGTGTGTGTATGTACAGTGTGTGTGTGTGTGTGTGTGTGTGTGTGTGTGTGTGTGTGTGTGTGTAGAGGCCAGAGGGCAATTTCCTGAGTCCATTTTCATTCTCCACTGTGGATCCTGGGGATTGAACTCAGACTCATGAGGCTTATGCGGCAAGCACTTTTACCCACTGACCTGTTTTTTGAGCCCAGAAAGGAAGTAGGTTTTAGAGCAACATCACTTATGTCTAAAGTTTGTAAACTAAGGAGTTCTGACTGGTTTCAGGAAGCGTTCTGCTACAAACTGAGTAGCCTAACCTCACCTTTTCATCAGTGCTTGTAACTGCTGTCCCAAACTGACTTCCCGACAGAGACATGATCTGAATTTCTGTTTCTAGCCATGCTATCGATAAGCATAGCACCTGGGTCCAGTGAAATGGCATGGTTGGTAAAGACTTTTGCTGCCAAACCTGAAACCCGAGTCTGATCTCCAGGACCTACATGGCTGAGGGGCAGCACCGACTCCCAGAAGTTGTCCTTCGCGCTCTGCACATGTGCCATGGCATCTATGCAGCCCCTACACACGTGAACACAAAATAAAAAAATCCACTATACAAAACATGGCATTTGTCTCGCACTTGTGAGCCAGAGGCAGGGGGATCTCTGTGAGTTTGAGGCCAGCCTGGTCTACAGAACTAGTTCTAAGACAGCCAAGGCTACGTAGAGAAATCCTGTCTCAAAAACAAACAAACAAGCAAACAGAATAGTGGGGAGGTTCTTTGGTACCACACTTGATCAGTTGGTCAGACTGTAACAGGCCAATACCTGGAAAGCCATCTGGTAGAGTGTACTAATGTTACCTTTGAGTTCATCTAACAAAAGTAATGTTAAGTTTACTGTAAAATTCTCCACCCTTTCCTGCAGGGTTGCTGCAGGTCTGGGGTTAGGGAGGAGTGAGCTGCTGTCTTTCTCTAGTTGTTACTCTTGCCTGGGCACAGGGCACTCACCAGCAAGCAGTGACACAGAGCGTGGAAATGTTGCTGGTTTGTCTCCAGCTCATCCCAGTCCAGCTTCCAGCAGCTTGTGGGTCTGAGGATGAAGGGGAGTCCGTAGGTCAGGGACTCACAGATCCCACTGGATTTTAGAGCCCTGGAAAAGAAAGACTTCTTAGTGGTGAGGGGACCTCTAAGCACACCCAGCTCTGATCTAGGACCGTCTTGGGGGAGGTGCCGGATCAGGGTGTGCAATTTGCAGAGCGTGAGGCCGGTAGCATGGAATCTGGCAGGTACACTGGAAGTTCTCAGAGCTCAGCAGCCTTCGCCTGGGGCCCTATAGTGTGAGCTGAAGGGAGCAAAGCCAGGCTTTCCCATTGTTCCGCCTGAGAGTTGGATCCCCTGAAGCAGCACTTAGAGGAGTGGTAGGGTTGAAATAGACCTGGATATGAAAGGCTCATTCCCCTACTAACCCCATGGCTTTTGGCAAGTTCACCGGGTGGTTGAATGCCTTTGTATTAATCTTGCTTTTCTCCGCACACAGAGCCCATGTTTCCAATTCCTGCCTATATCTCCAAGTCTTCTGTGGTAGCAAGTCTACATCTGCCCCTCTGGCTTCTACTTGCTGAGGAATCCAACTTTATTGTTTTTGTTTTTTGTTTTTTTGTGACATGCTTGTAACTGCTACCTGGCCACTGACTGTTGCCTGACTGTCAAAATAGACCCTGAATCTCTGCACTTCCAAGCGATGGAATTAAGAAGAATAGAGTAGAACGGTGAGGCTTTTTCAAAGCATACTTGATCACTTGCAGCTTGTACGGGGAGTCTGGAGACAGGGAAGCCATCTGGTAGAGTGTGCTGATGTCTCCTTTGGGATCATCTGTCCTCAACGTGCCATCGGCTGTCCCAGGAAGCAGGGATGGGCTGAGAAATCGCTCTTGGAGGTCACATTTCAGGCACACTACAATCAAAGGAGAGTTAGAGAAGAGACTGGGTTACAAGTTATCTCAGGCTGCCATTAAGAGGCAAGTTCACTTTCCCTAGGCAGTCAAGGGTTAGGAGGAGGCAGGGGGATGGGAAGAAGAAGGCACTCTTGGTTGGAGGAGGAAAAGCAGATCTGACCCTGTGTTCCAGCTTTTGCTCCTCACTGTTTACTTAGCCTCTGAGCCCGGCATCATCTTCCCTGACTTTACAGCTGGGCTCACTGAGCGGTTGTCTCAGAGCAAGAGGTCTGGTTTGTCCTTCAGTTCAGAAAGGACATGTGTCCTTGCTGGAGCAGCTAACACGTGTCAAGTCTCGAACCTGGGATAATCCGCAGAGGCCCTTGGGGCATCCTGCCTCTGCTTCCCTGCGGCTTTGGCAAGCACGCCAGTGAAGGAAGAGCAGGAAAGCAGAACTCAGACAGTCAGCTGACTGCTACTGTTTGTCTCTGGGCTCTTCTAGGGGGCGTTCAGGACTACGGGAGGAACAAGTTCCTGAAATAGCAGCTTATGTTTAACGTCTGGAAGGAACTGAGTATTGGACCTTCAAGGCCTCAGCGCACAGCGGCGGCGTTGGACATCAGGAATGTGTGGACTGCTACTGAGCTATACTATTCTCAGGGTCTGGCACTCTGTTCTATTAAGCTTTTGATTTCTTTTTATAAAAACTTTTTTCTTTTTTTATAATTTATTTTTGTGTTCCCTGGTGTTTTGCCTGCGTGTGTGTCTGGGTGAGGGGAGTCAGAAGCCCAGAAACTGGAGTTACAGACTGGTGTGAGCTGTCATACGGGTGCTGGGAATTGAACTTGGATCCTGTGGAAGAACAGCCAGTGCTTTTAACTGCTGAGTCATCTCTCCAGACCCCAACACTCATTTCCTCCCCCAGCCTTTGAGAGAGGATCTCCTGCAGCCCAGACTGACTTCTGACTTGCTCCACAGCTGAAGATGACCTTGCCCCTTCTGTCTTTACCTCACAAGTGCTGTGGTTTCAGGTGTGTATTACTGCTCCTGCTCCTGGCTGTGTTAGGTTTCTATGCCAGCAATCACCTTCAGGTGCCAAAGGATTTGTTGCTCTAAGCCTGAGTCCTTGATGCTACAAAGCGCACACACACATACACACACACACACACACACACACACACACACACACGGTTTGAATATCAACAGAAAACTTGCAAGTGTACAAACCCTGAATCCTTGTGAGTTTAGTAGTAGGTGATGGTGATTTGAGGAATGACCAGACTGCCACGTGGGATAAACATAAAAGCAGAAGCAAACTGCAATGGCATACATCTATGAACATGTTATCTAACTACATCTGTCATGTTCTATACTAATTTTAAAACCAAAAAAAACAATGTCAAAGTAACCTTGGAAAAATGGAGTGGGTGATAGATTCAGGTGACTTTCCCGGGCCCAGTTTATAAGATGCAGACTTCAATTCATCTACATTGAACCCAGGAGGGACTTTGTCTAGGAATGTGGCTCCCTTCATTTCTTCTCTGCCCGACTCTCCATTACTGATCACTGGGATTTAGGATTGGGAAGCTTTGTCCATCTGGATGAAGGTCTCTTTGGTAGCAGTAGGAAAAACCCTAAGAGGTAACTACAGTCTGATCTCTATTGTAGTTGTTGATAATCTCCATGGGCCTCATCACTCTGGAGAAGACCTAGTTTCTCCAGACTCCATACCAGTTGTGCCTGCCATCTGGATTCCAGTGTAGCAGTAGAGATAAAACAGGCTGCAGGAGTTCCTGGCCTTCGAGGGTCCCAGCTCCACTAGAGAACAGTGAGTCACTGCCCCTTTTGTTCAGAGTAGCCTAAGCACCAGGTGGGTAAGTGGTAGACAAAGGTAGAAGTTCTGGAGGTAGATAGACCTGTGTTTGATGAGCATATTCTTGGCAAGAATTGTCAAGTGTCAAAATAGAGATTTCTGGTCCCAACATGAAGGGGCCCTGGAATCGCTTTTCTATGAAGCCCGAGGAAAGTGTTTAATTCTTTGTCTTACTTTCTTCATGTGTAAAAACAGGTATAGTATTATATTTGGTTTGTAGGCAGATTTTTCACACACTAAGACAGATCTTTAGATCTTTATATCTGTCTTACAATTGCTATTGACCAGGTGGACAATCTTAGGACTTGAATTCTCCCAGGAACGATAACATTATTCTATGTCATGTTTAATTGACAGCGTTCCCATTCTTAGTGGTATAAGAACAGTGGCAAGTCTTATCACTGATAGCGTCTTAGATCTGGTGATATATTCAGTGACAGCATTTGCCTGGTGCTGCTGTGTAAAGCAGAAGGGGATTAGGCAAGAAAAGAAGTTAGTGTGGCGGGAGAAAGGCACACAAACGTTAAACACAAGCTGGCTTCTGTGTACAGTTGTCGGTTGCTTTTAACCGAGTGAAGTGAATGAGTGAATTTCAGAGGATGGGATAGGGAGGGATTGGTAGGAGCAGCTTGGGACACAATACGAAGGAGGTCCTGGGAAGACATTTTACAGGCAAAGGAAAGGCAGATTATGATCCAAGGTATTTCAGGCCCTAGGTGCTGTAAAAGAAAAGTTCCTTATTTAGTGTGTATTTGAGTGTGTGTGTGTGTGTGTGTGTGTGTATGCATATGTGTGTGTCATGGAACTTATGTGTAGGCCAACGAACAACCTGTGAGATTCTGTTCTTCCATAACGTGGGGCCTGGGATTGAACTCCAGTTGTCAGGCTTAGTGGCAAGTGTCTTTATCCACTGAGCCATCTTGCTGGTCCCAAGCTCTAGGTTTAAATGGAGAAAGAAGCAGAATCTGATAGCTGTCCCTGGAAAGAGGGGAAATGTCCTTCCTATTTAATTATACTTTCAGAGGGCTTTTCCTCATTCTGAAAAAGCGATAGTCATGGCAGAGTTCTATTACAGTAGGAGAAGAGATTTCAAACAGACTGCTAACTGGGGTTGGAGAGATGGCTCAGCAGTGCAACGGCTGAAGGTGTCAGAGGCCTGGAAACTGTGGTTACAGGAGGTTGTGAGCTGCCACGTGGGTGCTGGGAACTGATTCTAGGTCCTCCACCAGAGTAGCCAGTGCCCTTAGCCACTGAGCCATCCCTCCAGACCCCTGAGAAGATTTTTATTTACTGTTATTATTCTTACCAAGGCAGTGTTGATATTACCAAGGTTAAAGTCTCTTGGATTATAGTACCAACAATACCTACCACATTAAGAGTGAGAATATTGAGGGCAGTGCACGATTCAGTATATCCTGCTATGGTGCAGCGAATATCTTATCACTGAGGCATCAAGGACTTATCCTCTATAACCATTTGGCTCTCGCTGGCTGGAACGGTCACCCTTTGAGCCTTTCTCTTTAAAGCCATGCTGTCACTAGACAGTGTCACCCAGTCCTCCTCCAACCCAAAGGCCTCAAATGATCTGTATTGTGATGACTCCCCAGAGTCATCTAGACTTGTAATCTTAGGCAAGAAAAGATTTCGCCCACAGAACCTATCTTTTCAGGGTTGTGTACTTGGATTATCCTTGTCTGTGGAAGAAGGAGGAAGGCTCTGTGGAGCAAGAAGAAGATGGATGTGTTCTCGGTCGGTTTCACTGTTATGCAGCCAGGCTTTGAAGAAGACCTCCATGCTGACGACGTCGTTGTCGAGAGTCTGAAGGACAATGTCAGCTTCCAGGAGAGCACTGTCTGCAGAAGGAAGGAGAATGGTGGTTAGGGGGGTCTCTTTGTGTGTGTGTTGGGGGATGAGGCTGGGAAGATGACTGACTGTAAGAATAGTTTCTGCTCTTGCAGAGGACCTGCGTTCAATCCCTAGCGCCTATGCCAGGTGGCGCACAGCTGCCTGCAGCTCCAGCTTCTGGAATCTGATGCTCTCTCTTCTAAACTCCCAGCACGTGTACTCACACAATTAAAAATAAGTCTTTATAATTATTTTAATAAATAGATTTATTGTAATTAAAATTATTTCTCTGTTGGGGCTGGAGAGACGGCTCAGCTGTTGAGAGTACTGTGCTTGCAGAGGATCCGGGTTTGATTCTCAGCACCCGCATGGTGGCTCAGAACTGTCTGTAACTCAAGTCCCAAGGGATCCAACACCCTCTTTGAACCTCAGCAGGCACCAGACATGCATGTGGGTACACATATATGCATGCAGGCAAAATGCTCATACATGTAAAATAATAAAATAAATCTTGAAAAGGATAAAAATCGTTGTGTTTCGGTGTTTTGTCTGCATAAAAGTTTGTGCACCACAAATGTGCCCGACACCCACAGAGGGCAGAAGAGGGTATCGGATGCCCTGGAACTGGACTAGAGGTATAGACAGCTGCTGTGAGCTATCTCGAGGGTGCTGGGAATTGAATTTAGAAGAGTACTCTTAACTGCTGAGTCATTTCTCTACCCACTTATTTTAATTGCTAATTATGTTTGTGTGTGTGTGCATGTAGGTATGTGCATGTAAAAGCAGGTGTCTGTGGCGGTCGGAAGAGGCTGTCAAATTCCCCTGAGCTGGAGTTACGGATGGCTATGAGCTACCTGTGTGCTGGGAACCTCTGAGAACACAGCAAGTACTGAACCATTTCTCCAGCCCAAGTGTTCAATTATTACTGTTGTTATTGTTATTGTTATTTTTGAGACAGGGTTTAACTGTGTATCCCTGGCTGTCCTGGATCTCACTACATAGATCAGGATGGTTTTGAACTCATAGAGATCTGCCTGCCTCTACTTCTCAAGTGCTGGGATTAAATGCATGCACCACCACACCCAGTTAAGTCTTTAATTTTTAACTAAACTTTTTTTTCAAGATAGAGTCCTGCTATGCAGCTCAAACTCCAAATAGGAAATAAATCTAATGTCTATCAATAGAGGAGTATTTAAACAAATTACAAATTACAACACACTCAAACTAGTGTGTACTATGTAACTGTTAGTAATTTAAAGATAAATATATCAACATGGGATCTAGAAGGGAGCAATGAAGGAAGTTGTAGGGCAGATATGATCCCATTTGTATAAACATAAAACTACCTGTAGAAGTGCATACATGCGTATGTACAAGTACTTTATAAAAGTCTGGAAGGCTGCCATTCAACTGTTAGTTCTGAGACACATCCCTTTTCATTCACACGCCTTCATTCTCTATACTTTATCTTTTTGGGGGGTGGGGTGGGGTTAAGACAGGGTTTCTCTGTAGCCTGTCCCAGTACTAACTCTATAGACCAGGCTGGCCTCAGACTCACAGAGATCCGCCTGTCTCTGCCTCCTGAGGGCTGGGATTAAAGATGTGTGCCACCACTGTATGGCTTTTACATTTAATCTGATTGTGTATTTCTGTTATAAAATATCCCAAGGGTCTGCAGAGATGACTCAGCAGTTAAGAATGCTTGTTGTTCTTGCAAAGGACCAGAGTTCAGTTCCAGCGCTCACACTGGGCAACTCGCAAACATCTGAAACTCTAAGGCATCCAATGTCCTCTTCTGGCATCCATGGGCACCTGCACAAACATGGCATGTGTACACACACACACACACACACACACACACACAAAATAAATAAAATACATCTTTTAAAAAACACTAAAAATATTAAAGCGATGAAAAATTAAATTAACCTGCATAACAATGCAGGTTTAGTCATTAGCAAGGGACTAATTTTGTGTTGTCATTTATATATTTAGTTATTACCTCTTAAAATGAATCTGAACATCTAAAGTGAAAAAGATGAACCATTGTATTGGGCTTTACCTTATGATATAGATTGCAGAGTTAGCTGTTGGCAAACTGTCTCACAAGTGTGTTTGGTATAAAGAGAAGGGACTGTCTGGTGTGAGTGGCTCTGGGTAGCTGGGTCGACAGGCTTTCCTGGGTGCTTCTGACTTCAGCCAGATCTACCTCTGGTGCTGGGATCTGGTTCTCTAGATAACTGTTGTCAGTGAAAGTCAAACAGAAAAATCTGCGGGAAGAGTTGAGGAGAAACCTGGAGGGGCTTGCTGAGATACAAAGGGCCTAAGAAAAGCCAGTGGCTTAAATGAATTAACTTCTGTGTATGACTCATGAATGCCGGGCGGTTTATTTCTAGAACGACATTCCTGAGGACAAGTTGGTAGAGGTGGCAGACTCCCCGCCACAAGAACAAAGAAGGTTCAGTCCAAGGTGCTGGCTCCACACAGGCAGTGCAGGGCGTTAGATGACTTCACATCTTGTTCAAGGACAAGGAGAGCAAGTCCACCTTTTTTTTTTTTTTTTTCTGGTCAGCATGATTAACTCTGCTAAATAGTTATGTAGATTCATTCAGTACTAGCTGTTTCATTCACTCCATCAGGAGCACACAGCTCTCTGTCCCCATGGAATTTTAAAAGCTGCGTTAGTCTTGAGCATTTGTTCTCAAACTCCCATCTGTACCATAGTGTTTTATGGTACTATGATTATAAGTACAACGATATTGCCAAAGAAACATTTAAAAATTAACGTGGATCTGGTGATGGCACAGGCAAACAACGGATAGTTTATCTTGAGTAACACGTTTGGGGATGAGTGAGCAGCTTTTCCTTAGTGAGGCAAAGAGATATTAAAGCTACGAAGGCAAGTACAGGGCCAAAGAAATGGAATTGATGGGGCTGGAGAGGTGGCTCAGTGGTTAAGAGCACTGGCTTCTTATCTAGGAGATCTGGGTTCAAATCTCAGCACCCACACTTTGGCTAATAACTGCCTGTGACTCCAGTTTCCAGGGGATCCAACTGGTTACCCTATGGCTCCCCCAGGCAGCGTGTGAGGCACATACATACAAAGCATCTATACACATAAAGTAAAAATAAATAAATTTTTAAAAGAGAGGCTCAGAGAAGTGAGTATAACAGGTACAAGATTAGAAACTCCTACAACGGGAATCAGGGGAGACAAGACATCATTGTCTATATTAAGAACCTAGAAACAACAACAACAACAACAACAACAACAAAAAGGGTTTCCTAAAGTAATTAAAACTATAAATTTAACATAGAATGGTGAAGCCACAGAAAAGCAGTTCCTTTAAGAAAAAAGGAATGGTACTGGAGAGATGGCTCAGAGGTTAAGAACACTGACTGTGCTTCCAGAGGTCCTGAGTTCAATTCCCAGCAACCACATCACAACCATCTACAATGAGATCTGGTGTCCTCTTCTGGCATGCAGTCATACATGGAGGCAGAACACTGTGTACATAATAGATAAAATATTAAAAAAAAAGGAATGAAGTTGGATGTGTTGGTTCATGGTTTACCCAGTATACAGGAGGCAGAGGTAGGTGGATCTCTAGAAGTTCAAAACCATCCTGTTTTACATAGAGACTTCCAGGTCAGACAGAGAAACATAGTGAAACCATATCTTTAAAAAAAAAAAAAAGAGACATGTTTTCTTTAACAGCAAATGGGCTAAGACTAGAACAAAACAAAAGACAAGCATGATCCCCTGCATGAGGATGACATGCAAACTGTAAGACTTTGCAGTAGCTTTTTTGGTGGTCTTGCAGCTTAGAGGATGGATATACACACTGGAGAGGGAGAAAACTCACCAGAAATGGGACACAGATAAAGCAGCAAGGATGCGGGGACCTTTTCTAAGCGTGGCTCCTACATTTGTCCCAGTGGCAGATGTGGGTGTCACCTCTGTCCTTGTGAATTATGGCAGCTACAATTTTTTCTCTAAAATATCCTAGCTTTTCCATTAGTTCTGAACTTGAGAAGCTAAATGTCTGAGAGGGTGCTGGCAAAAGACGCTCAGAATGACCGGTCCTTGAACATGGCACCTCTAAGATGGGAAATGCCATGTCACCAAATGAATTGAGCAGTCAGTCTCCCCAGAGTGTGCATTGTTTGTGTTTCTAACTTTAAAAAAAATTAATTTATTTATTTTTATGAGAATAAGTATTTTGCCTGCATGCATATCTGGGGCCAAGTATGTGGAGTATCCACAGAGGCCAAAAAATGGCATTGGATCCCCTGGAGCTGGATTTCCAGATGGTTGTGAGGCACCTTGTGGGTGATGGGAATTTTTGGGAATCAAACCTGAGTCCTCTGGAAGAGCAGCCAGTGTTTGTAACTTCTGAGCCATTTCTCCAACCTCCATTTCTTTTTTCTTTCTCCCTTTCTCTCCTTCTATTCTTTCTTGTCTCTCTCTCTTACTTTCTTTTCTTTTCTTTTCTTTTTCTTTTTTTTTTTTTTTTTTTTTTTTAGATAAGGTTTCTCTGCATAATGATCCTGGCGTCCTGGAACTCGCTTTGTAGACCAGTCTGTCCTCAAACTCACTGAGAACCACCTGCCTCTGCCTCCCAAGTGTTGGGATTAAAGGCGTGCACCACCAGCGCCCAGCTCCACACCCCATTTCTAATTTCTTAACTATACATTCAGGGAATGGCAACAGCAGAACCTTTCCTTTGAAGGAATCTCATGTTGTCTCCACAGCGGTGTTGTGCTTCAGGTTCAAGTCTTCATTTCGCTGCCTCAGGAGGAGTGGCATCCTTTCAGGGACAAGAAACAGATGGTTCCTCTGATGACGGCTGTTCTTCCAAAGGATTCAGGTTTGATTTTATTGTAAACTTCTCATCTTGGAGTGCTTAGTACGACCCATCACTCCTCAGGGATCCCACACTCATCTTCCTCTGGGATGGCCCAGGCTGTTCCTCCTCATTACCACCTGTTGACACCCTATTTTTCA